TTAAGGCAACAAGGAATAAATATTAACAGAAAAACCATAAAGTCCTATGAAACCCCCAAACTCTCTGCAGTGTTTATTTGTTCCTGAGTGATATTATTATAGCTGTGAAGTTATTGTTACACTAAGAGCTGAGGCAGGAAAAAAAATATAAATTGCCACAGTTCTATTTTCAATCAGTTGGCTTTAGAAAGAGGAGAGGAGAGAAAGCAAGCCTACAGTAATGATAAATTGGGCAAATCGAATCCTAATTCAAAGAAATATTGCGGAGTCACATTCAGTCCTTTTGCTGGAAGCCCTGGTCACTAAAAGAAAATTTTTAAAAATCTGGATCAAACTTTCCCAGTGTACATGAATGTTTAATAGGTCAGTAAGTATGAGCTGTATTCCTGTCACATACACAAATTGTCTTGGATGCAAAAATAATTGGATTTCTGGCAAGTAAGTCTAGCATCAGAGTATTATAAATGCATTAGATCTGTGTTGTTTTCCACAGAAGGAAAGAAAACAACACTTGGCTTCATCCAAGAAAGACCAAAACACATTTTTGCTTCCTTAACAAAGAAACATTTTAATAATTGCTTGGGCAAGTTTTGCAACACATTAGATTGGCTTCATTAGTGACATTATTAATGGCAGATAACACAATTCTTCCTGCATTCCAACACACTTTTGTGACAACTTCATCCAGTTTGTGCTTATTATTCACCAACTATCCTTCTTAGCTGGTGGCCACTTGCCACACATATTTGCCACCCAGGGAGGAGATCAACCCTGACTGCTCTTTAGAAGGCCAGATACTGAAGAAGAAACTTGAATACTTTGGCCACCTAATGAGAAGAAAGGACTCCCTGGAGAAGAGCCTAATGCTGGGAACAATTGATGGCGAAAGAAGGAGGGGATGGCAGAGAATGAGGTGGCTGGATGGAGTCACTGAAGCAGTCAGCTTAAGTGGACTCTGGGGGATGGTGGAGGACAGGAAGGCCTGGAGGAATGTTGTCCATGGGGTTGCAATGGGTCGGACACGACTTTGCAACTAACCACAACAAATGTGGTGAAATGCTTCTTGAGTTGAGTGTGGCAGCATTCGCCTTTCCCTTCTCATCCTCTTCGGTTCTTGGCTTCAGTGCTGGATCCCTTTGCCATAAAACTGCCCCAGACACTCGCTTTTGTTCCTGCTGAGCTCTGCTTGCCCTCTGAGCCAATATTTAAATTGGCATCCAAGGACATCCCAAGGAAACCGGTGTTTTCATACGTCCCATGATGCATGTCTGCCTCACTTATTTTCTGCAAACAGTCCTCAAAACCCAGTTTTTCCATGAAGCCTTTGGAACAGTCCCTTATATAAATGCATATTCTTCTTCATATGCATAATCTCCATATCCTCCTTTTTCCACTCCTGCTTCCCCTGAATTGAATTTTAGTGTGTAAACCCTTTGGGCAGACATCTGTGCTCACGTACTCTATACCATGTCCTGCAAACTGGCAGCACAAGATGATGGTCAAATAATCTCCTTTCTTCCGAGCTCTCAACTTCCTTCAATTCACTGTCTCTGAGAACCATTCCACGAGATGCAAAGAGCTTTTTCCAGAAGGGAAATCAGCATCCATTCTGCTGTCCATGCAGAAATACTTGGAATGCATTGGACTCTGTGTATGCTGATCATAGACACAGAAAATGAAAGCACAGAAAAGGATGCAGATGCTTCATATGAAAAAGATTGGGGACTGGGGATTAAACTAGTTTCATAATACTGCCCTTCCAGACCTATGCACAAATGGAAACTCTGTTGTCCTCTCTGAATTTTAGAAAGTGATTTCTCCAGCCAAACATGCTCATGAAAATTCACATAGCAAAAAAAAAGTAACATTCAACATTGCCTTGAATTAGGAAAATGATTTGCAATAATGGCATATTTTAAGCAAAATCACTTGCAAATCTGCATGCATTTGGAGAAATTCACACAAAAATAAGTACACATTTTCACATGAACTTTGAAGGAAAATAAATGTCACCCTTAAAAAGTTCAACGTGAACTCAAATTAAGTTTGAGAACCTGAAAGAAATTGGCAGATTCATCCATATAATGGGAACTTCAACAGCCTTGAATATTAATTAATTAATATTAAATATTAACCAGATATTTCTGTGTGGTTATCTTTATGCACATCAAGAGCAGCCTTTCCCCAGAAAGCATCTGTCCATGGGCTAAAGTTAGCAGCCGATTGCACTATGATTTTTCATGTTAAAGCCTGGAACAGAATATCTGTCTTCATCCAGGCATCTGTTTCATAAATCTTTCAGGCATGTACTTATCTGCTGGTCTCTTGCATTTGCAGCTTGCATGAATTTTTAATCAGCTTTGAATAATGACTTCATATGCAAGTCAATGATTGAGGACAGGGTGGGGGGGTTGCTGAGGTTTTTTTGCTTTTTTTCCTCCCTCGTCCCTGAGCTGAATGATAGGAATAGGAGTCTCAAATATCCTTTTGAAAGTTTTTATTACTCATGCACATTTAAAAGTGCATGGAATATATAAAACATGAAATAAAGAGGGCATTCAATATTGTCAGTGTGTGAGCTTTAGCACACTGTGCAGCACCATTCAAGAAAGGGGCAGCTTTAAATGGCTGCAATCGGGATCCCGTCGGACATGTTCTGGAGTTGTCATACGGGCTGCAAATTCAGAACTGCTGCTTGTAAGGAACCTCTCTGAGAAGCAATGTTTAGATTGTTGCAGATTCAGAATTTTGGCTGCCTAATACCCTATTTTTCTAGGAGGAACTCCAGGAAAAATAGGGAGCAAAGGAGTGCCACCAGGCATGGCTAGAGGAGCGAGGATGTGCCAGCAGATCTTAAATACTGTGGACAGTAAGTGTGCGAAAGGGAAATATTTAGGCACGATGCCCTCTGGGCAGGCCTCCCTTGTTCCTATTCTTGATATTTTTAAGATGAAGGAGCAGACAAAACTACAAGCTTCGCACATACAAAAAGACACATGGAGTGTGAGTGGGTGGGGTGCAGGCCCCCCCCCCCCCGTCAGCTTGTCCTGCCTCTCCCTCAGCCCCACTGGTGGACCACTGGAAGGACAGTCAAGCTTTACAAATAACTTACAACAGCAACCTACTTTGAAACCGAACCCCATTAAAATCAGTGGGCAGTTACTTTGAAGGAAATATGCTTTGCAAAGATGGATGTGAAATAGGTCTCCTCTCTCAAACAAAGGGGAGAAAGCACGCCCATGCGCCCAAATGCATATTGCCCCCTCTCTGTGCAGCCTCTCAAAATGCGTTTTTGGTGCCGCTCCTGTAGGCTGAAGTGGTACGGTCCATACAAACACCTTGCTCCTTGGTTTTGCTGAGTCTGGAAACTGGCCCTAAGGCAGCCCGAGTGCCATGAATGGAGGAAGTTGCCGGAAGCAGCAGGAATGCCACAAAGCTCCATGAGCCTCAGCCTTAAACTTCACTGAATGCTGAAGAACTTTCCGAAGCATTAGAATATCAATAGGAACATCTGGCTTCAAGCCAGAGGGATTCTAGCTTAGCCTCTGTTGTGTTTTATCTCTTTTAGCCAGATGCTACACGTGCTTCCTAGCATCTTGTTGATCCCCTTTGGGTGGAGGAATGGCTGCAACAGTATTGCTGGACTTCTGTGAGCTGTGGGACTCACTATTTTCTGAACGAAAATGGTGGAGTTCACGTTTACATACACTCCTAAAATTTCCTCTGACTAAAGTTACGTGCCTCAAAAAACCCCCTCCACAGTGCTTGGAAAGTGCCCTCAGCAAAGCCCCTTTGAGAAGCCCCTCATATCATTCCATTCCCCCTGGACACCAGCCAGGCTTACTTGATGGGGGTAATGAGCAACCCTCTGTCCCCCTGTGGACTCATGAGTGCCTTGAAGTCTTTAATCAATTCCTGATCTCATGGCATAATGAGCCTTCTCCAACAGATACTTTGGGACTTCACTGTGCTGGGCATGCAAAAACATCAATAGAAAGACAGCTGCATTTGTGTCTTTGCAGCAGAGTGAAAATTGTGTCTGCTTGTACTTGTTCATAAAACTCCAGAATGAAATAGCAAGGGAGGGCAGACACTCCTCGATTACAAGGTTTTATTAACAGCCAGGGCTGATGTTGCTGCCATTGATCTCAGTGATGTTAATAACCGTGTGTCTATCAGAACAGAAGAGGAGGAGCAGACCTGAATCAGCAATAAGTCTGTTGCTATCAGCAGCCCAGAAAGGATGTGCATTATCAGTGCTTTTTGAGCTGGCATTTTATTATTCTACTAAATAGATTCTTTTAAAAAAAAGCAAGGTTATTACAATCCCACACAGAAAAGAAGTAACCTGGGGTGATTGTATGGCCCTGAGTGTTACAATCTGAAGACACTTCTTTCAGATACAATTGCAGGCAGTTAACTTCTAAATATTATTTAAGATCTCCACTTATTTTAATTGCTGTTCTTCCAGAATCCATTGAGTGTGGAAACAGTAGTTGTATGAAGGGTGAGAAGGAGAATCCTGGGAGAAGGAGGAGAATGTGGGCGAATGCCACAGTTGAGAGTCTGTGTGTTGGGCTGGTTAGAGTGTTGGGCTGGGTCCCCAGGAGATACAGGTTCTAATCACTGTGTGACTCTGGAGCTCACTGGGTAATCTGCGGTCATACGCTCACCATCAGCCTAACCTCCTGTGCAGGATTGTTGTTGTGAGGATAAAATGGAACGGAAGAGGACTACAGAACTACCTCGGGCTCCTTGCAAAAGGAATAAAAAAGAAATAAAAATGTAATGCAGTAGTAATAAGAATAGTCACTTAAAACTAGTTTACACTGCATGGAAAATCCAAAGGCAAATTTTAATTATGGGATTTTGTTGTTTCACTGAATTTCAGGGCTTGGGAGCTGGTTTCTGGTTTCATTCTGTTTGCAGATTAAAGCTAGGCCTTTTCATTTCACCTGCATTTCCTCACCACTGCATACATTTCTCATGTCTTTGATCAGGCGTTTGCTATGCTGAGTTTGGTGTGCGGGTCCCGAAAACCACCGGCTCTGCTTACACCTACAGTTATGTCACAGTGGGAGAGTTGGTGGCGTTTTTCATTGGATGGAACCTCATCCTGGAGTACCTGATCGGCACAGCAGCGGGCGCCAGTGCCTTGAGCAGTATGTTTGACTCTCTGGCCAATCACACCATCAGTCGCTGGATGATCGACAGTGTTGGAACTTTGAATGGGCTGGGTAAGCATCTTCCTAGAGGTATGTAGCTGGCTGATCGTTGCCTATGCCTGATCATAACTATTAGGCTCCAAAAGGCAACTAAATTCTGGTTCTACCAAGTTCTGCTAGGATAGCTCTAATTTCAAGCCTTGAATGTGTTGTTCCAATATGTCCAGTGTCCAATATGCAGGGAAGTTCAGCCTGTGTTGGTCCATGTGTCAGAGCAGGACCAGGAAAGGCTGCGGAGTTCATGGAAGGTTTCCCTTAGGTGGTGATGCCTGCCTTTCTTTTCGGACACTTCTGGCACACCTGAGTTCAGGGTCAGCGTCAGCATCTGAAAGTATTGGGCAACAGCAGCAGACTCAGCACCCTGGCAAGGGCCCGCCACTGACACCTACTCAGGGCTCCTTAAAAAAATCAACCTGGCACTGGTGTTGCATGGCTTGCCCCGATCACTATTCAAATGTCCCATGATGCCCTGACTAACACTACGTTGGCGCATAGTGGAAGGGTGACGTGGTGGCCACCTTTTTTCGGGAAAAGGAGTAAATTTTCATGCAGACAGAGAAAACACAGAAGTACAATGATTGGTTGACAAAACGTTGGGTCAAAATTTGATCTGGAGAAGGGTCGTTGATATCAATGAGATAAACTAGTCATAACTAGCTTGAATCCCCCTGATTTCGGAGAATCACAACTAGCCATTTCCATTCATTTTAATAGGATTATTTTAGCTCTGGATCCATTCATGTCATTAAAGTCTTCCATAAAATATAAGTGAACAAAGCATGGCTATTCAGCAGTAAAGGCTTAGTGTGGAAGCAGTTCCCCACAAGGCCCTGTTCTTAATGGGGGAAAAGGGCTATTTTTTCCAAACCTCCACATAACGTTCAATTTTCACAGGTAAAGGAGAAGAATCGTATCCAGACCTGCTCGCTTTGGTTATTGCTGTTGTCGTAACAATCATCGTTGCTTTGGGTGTGAAGAATTCTGTGGGGTTTAACAACATCCTGAATGTGATCAACCTGGCTGTGTGGATCTTCATTATGGTCACTGGACTGCTATATGTTGATGGAGAAAACTGGGCTGAAGGACGGTTCCTGCCATTTGGATGGTCAGGGGTGAGTGTTTTCTAAAGGAGAAGACAGTAGATCACTTGGTCTCCAGGTAGGGCTAGGAAAGGCTCAAAACCCTGGATAGCCACTACCAGACAGTGTCAGTAATACTGGGTTAGGTGGGTTTGACTCACCCAAGTTGGCTTTCTGCCTCCTTGTGTACAGCAGGGGTGTGAAGAAGGTAAATCAAGATGCACTGGTAGATACAGTATCTGGGTGTTTTGCAGTAAATTAGCTGAGATCCTGACACTGGCTTGGGTTGCTGAAGAAGAACTCTTAGGTGATGATGAGGAAACCAGGGGCGGAGGGATTTATTTATTTATTTATTTATTTATTTATTTATTTATTTATTTATTTATTTGAATCTGGGAGCACAGCATTGCATCCTAAGAAACTTCCCATGTTCTATTCCCATGAAAGCAGTTCAGACAAGTGCCTTCAGCTTTCTTCAGGTGGAGCTTTGAACATGTGGCCCCCCAGATGGTTACAACTCCCATCAGCTCTACCCAGCATAGCCAACAGTAAGAGATTGTGGAAGGGGTAGGACAGCAACTGCCCTACAGCTGCACACCCCTGGTTTAAACAAATGTTAATCTCTTTTTCTGGTTCTTTTGAAATAGATCTCACCCAAAAGGTAAATTTGCATTTAACGGAACCCCCAACAAAAGCAATTCCCATTTTCTAGTTGGGCGAGAATAATGGTGGCGAAAAAGGAATTGCCCAATGGAGTGAAATTAACACTGCATAGATACAATTAGTCTGCTCTCTAAAGGGATGACTTAACAAGCTCATTAGAGCTGATCCCTTAAGCAGCCTAAATGCACAGCACCAAAAGGCGAATAAGTGATTTGCTGCAAGACACATTGACACAAGTGAAAACAAGCAGTCAGTGGGTGTAATCCAGCACCATCTCTAGGGTGCCCCATTTCATTTGCAGACTTTTCCAGTAGGTTCTGATGGTGACGGGAACCCTCTGTGTTTTCCCATCACTAACCATGGAACATCTGTTAAGGAGGAAAAGATGGAATTTTGATCACTAATGTTGAATCCCTTCAGTTTGGAAATGCAATCCATGAAATGAATGAAAGTGCTCTATGTGTATACATACTTTCCCAGGAGTGAGCCCTACTGTATATGCTGGAACTTCTGTAAAAATCCATTGGATCACATTGCAGGCCTTGTCTTATGTGCACTTACTTGAGAGTAAGATCCACTGTATTCAGTGGACTTACTGCACAGTAAAGCTTCTTAGAAACAGACTATGCAACCCTGGGAAAAAATAGGACTCAACATCTCCTTGCTTTCAGCAGTGTCTAAATGGAGCCCAACAATTTAATGAATGGTGCAGAAGTTCAAGAGTTCCCTAGAGCCAACTACATGTGATCTGGGACGGCTGCTTACAGCATCACAGAAAAGGACAGTAGAGGTCTCATATGCGCATGAAATGCCCATATGTTAGTTTATGGGTAAAGATGCACCTTGCTATAACTTAGCAATCCATCTCATCATAGGGGGAAGGCGGTGGTCAGGTGACCTGAATGCCTGCTCTGTTTGCTGTCGAGGTTCTTGCTGTTAATACACAGCTTCAGGGTTCCTGCTCCTCCCTTCTTGTCATTCTTTATTCTTAAAACAGACTTAAAACTTTTCTGCACCAGCCTGTTAACTGGCTTCACCTACTTTGGGTTTTGTTGAAGAATTCACAGATCCGAGGACAGAACTGTCACGGATCTAAGAACTACTGTATTTTTTTCACTTTCACAATGATCCCAGCTTCAAAAAGACTCACTGAAAGTGCTGGTTGGTTAGACGCAGAAGCAAAATGGGAGGACAACCTGTAACAAACTCTGAATAGCCAATGACAAGTATGCAATAAATGGCTTGTGTAGAAAAGCCTCTGCACTAGACAGCCCTTCAAATAAAGAACTGCCTGCCACAAAAACAGACACATGTTTGTCTACCACCTGCAAAGTAAGGGCATTTTGCCTTGCAAATGTTCCAGTGCAACACTTCCTGTGACAGTTACCTTTGCCGCTCTGTATTCAGTGCAACAGTTTACCATGCTGAAGGTTTCACTTTCCCTCCACGCTTGAGAAGGTGGATTATCACCAGAGCACTCACAGGGACATTGCCCACATAGCCTATTGGACAGGATTCAAAGCATTACTTGTGTGAAAGATGACATTTCCCCCATTTGAACGCCCTCCAGGTGTGTTGGATTCCAACTCCCATCATTCCAAGCAGCAGGACCTTCAGATATATAGATCTATGGCATGAGCCAAAGTTAAACCCAAGCAACATAAACCGACGCTACTTGGATGAATACAGAGGGACTTTAGAGAATTGCAGCTTTAGTCTGTTCCATTGATCTCTGGAAGAGGGTTAAACACTTTTTAAAGCACTTTATCACTGGCTTCCTAGTTCAGATGGATTCACCAGTCCATTTGAGACACAAAATGCTGGGTAAAGTTTGCGAAGCCATGCATGGCTTGTGTCCAAGCTATTTTAAGGACCACATTCTCCCATGTGAGTCTGCCTCAGTTTTAGGACCCTCGGAAGAGGCTGTTCTCTCTGTTCTGCCACTTGCAGAGGGCATTTAAAGGGAAGGCAAGACAGAGCCTTCTTGGGGTTTCCTTCTAGACTTGGAAACATGCTGCCAAGGGAAGATAGGTTTGCTCCACCTTGGTGTTCCTTCAATTGGCGGGCAAAGACACTCAGGCAGGCTTCCGACTTCTAAGCTGCTTTGCTACCAAAGTGGGTGGGATTATTTCTCTGTATCATCATTTGGTCCAGCAAAATGGTCCTTTCCCCCCAAGTAAATGCATGTGGGATCAGGGCAGCAGAAGCAAACTCTCTGAGTGATCCTAAGTGTGTTTAACATGCAAAGCACTTCTTTTCTTTTTAAAATAAGGGTTGGCAAATGGGTTTTGGCTTTGCTTTAACCCATGGGTCCTCAAACTATGGCCCACGGGCCAGATCCGGCCCGCCATGCCCATTTATCTAGCCTGCCTCAGAGGTTTGGGACTCACCGTGCCCGGGCCCATGCCCATGCGCACAGCGAGGCAGCAGCTCGCTCGCACGCAGATCATTTTGGACTCGCTCGGAGAAAACGATCGCTGCACAAGCAAGCCGATGCCTCACTGTGCCTGCCCCCTGCCCCTGCCTCGCCTCGCCATGTGCGCAGCCCCCGCCCCCTCACCGGCCCGTGCCTCCCGCCGGCACCGCCTTGCCCGCCCGAGACACCGCCGGCATCTTTCAACTGGCCCCCTGTTGAAAAAGTTTGAGGACCCCTGCTTTAACCTCTCAGGAATTTGGAAGCCCTTTTGAAACATGGAATGGGGAAGAAGGGAGCAGAGAAAAGTACGTGAAGTGCTTCACAGCTGCAATAATGCATACAGCTGTCTTCTAAAGGGGATTCCCATATGATCATTAAGTCCAGGGTCTAAAATTATGGTGCAGCTTGTTAATGTGCAGTTAGAGGCAGAAACTCCAAGGAGAAGCTTCCAGTTAAAGTTACAGGGTTCTGAGTAAACACAGCCTTTGACCACGGAGAAGAACTTTGTTGGATAATGGCGCACTATGTGAAATACTTTTCAGGTGCTTCAAGGTGCAGCCACCTGTTTCTACGCCTTCATTGGATTTGACATCATTGCCACCACTGGGGAAGAAGCAAAGAGTCCCAACACTTCTATCCCGTACGCCATCACTGCCTCCCTGGTCACATGCCTGACGGCATATGTGTCCGTAAGTACCAGATTGTAAGCTGGAAAAACAGATTTAACAGGGAAAGTGGCAGAACAGGGTCCATTCAGAAGCCTCCTCCTCCATGCCAGTCTGGACGCAGATTTTACTGCCACCAAGGGGGGAAAGGCTATTGCAAAATGTTCCATCTTTGGTGGGGAAATACCTTAACTGACCTTGGGTACCACGCAGCTGGACTTGCAGGGAAGGGGGAAGCATTTGCAAATGAGGTGGACTAGCCCCACTGAGAGAGACCCAGAGAAGTAACCTGGAGGTTAGTCATTTTTCTCTGGGTCCATTCATCATTCACATTCCCTCTCACACACAGACACGGACTTTATTCACACACAATGCACATACTTCTTAGAGCCCACATTTGCATACTACTCCCACACAGACTGTTCATGGACTCCAGCTAACAGTTAACTACTTGTTTGTTTCTTGCTCCTCTTCCCCCGTTTTCAGTAGCCCCGACTATCCTCCAGCATTGTGCGCTGGCAGGTTATTGGTTGGTTTTTAGCTGCTGGAATATTCATAAACATTCCACATCATCTCAGAGCTGAACTAGTGGCTCGAGGTGACATACTTCAGACAAAGCCAGAGCTTTGACAGCCACTACACAGACCGCCCCACAAATACGCCGTTTTTTTGTTCTGTTTTGTTGAGTTTTATTTGCTTTGGGAGACCAATAGACCAAACTCCCCTCTATATTTATCTGTACAGCTAGGTATTCTGAGCATGAATTTTATATACCATTCATCTCTCTTTATGCACTTTCTAAAGTATCCTGCAGTGCAGTGCCATGCCAATCTATTCAAAACTAAGTCCAGCTGAGTTAAATGGGGCTTCCTCCCAGCGGTTTGAGGGCATTTGTGTGTGTGTGTGGGGGGGGGGGGGGTATTCATCTTCATACAGCCTGAAGGCCACATTGCATTTTGGGAAAGCTTTTGGGAGCACATTCCAGTGATGGGTAGCACTGAAATCAAAAGGCCAGAACCAAAGGCAAAGCAGAGGAACAGAAAACTGAAAATGCCAGCATATTTTACAATAGAAATCCTTCTGCCAATAATAACTTCAACCATTTAAAATGGTGGTGGGGGGGGGGAACCTGTACAGAAGCTAGGAATCCACCACATGAGTGCTGATTGTGAGAAAGGGGGCAGAGCCACAGAAGGGGAGAGGCCTAGATGAACGGGGCATGACCAACTGAGGAACCCTTGTGTGTTGGATTGGAACACCAGGTACGTGGTCCTGTACCCATGGGGCGTTGGACTGAGCACTAATTGCGTATTGAAAAATGCCTTCATTTTGCAAGAAGGTCTGTTGATAGGTGAGAAACTGCCATATACCAAGTCAGATGAACAGCTCGTCTGAATGGTTTTAATTGTTTTGTTGTTAAAATGTTGGTTAACTTTTTTAATATAATTTCATGGTTTTACAGTTCTATTTTTATATCTGTACTTCATTGTATTTATTAACTGCTGCTTTCTGCCCAGACAGCTTCAGCTATTAGATGCTATAGAAATAAAATAAAGTATTAAAATTAAAAGATAAGCTAAAACAGTACAACAAAAGCATAAAGTAAACTTGCCCCATTCTGTTGACCTTAAATGGTAGTATCATTCCAGTAAGAGAATCCTACAAATCCAGATATCTGGGATCTTTTACCATTTCAAAGACCCGTTTCTTGGTGCCTCAGCAGGGATACACAGACTTTGTTAAATCTCTTCCATCTGCATTTTGTGGACTGACAGGCCTTTCTTGCTCCATCACCCAATGATTGACAGATTCAGTTTTTGCACAAGCGAGTTTGTACATACTTGAATAAAGCCAGGTCCCACTTCCACAAATATGCAAATCCCTTTCAAAATGTCCTTTTTCACACTTCACGCAGCAATGGATTGTATATTACTGGTTGGTTTTTCTATTGCTCTCAATATTTCTATACCTAAATTTTTGTCCAAACTCATTTGAACTCATTGTGGAGTTCTTTAAGTCCTTATTCCTCAAGCAGTGTAGAAGCAATACTATGCCATTTCTAACCACATATTTGCTTCCCCCCACCCCACCTCTGTACCTGCATTCCCACAATAGGTGAGCATTATCTTAACTCTGATGGTGCCATACAATGAGATTGATACTGAGTCCCCCCTGATGGAGATGTTTGTGGCCCGTGGATTCTACACTGCTAAATTCATTGTTGCCATTGGATCTGTGGCTGGGTTGACTGTGAGCTTGCTGGGTTCCCTCTTCCCGATGCCTCGTGTAATTTATGCTATGGCTGGTGATGGACTTCTTTTCAGGTAAGTTAGGGCAGGCATGCTGCATGTCTTTCATCCCAAGGCCAAAGTCCAGTTCTGAGAAGCTCTCTGCAGCTGTGTTACAGTAGTGGGTGGGATCAAAGCAAAAGAGCTAGATACCAATACCAAAAATATCAGCATATTTAAGCTTGAAACACTTCCAGTAACTAAGTTTTAGAATAGGGATGAGTGAAGAATCTACTTCCAGAGTGGAACTCCATCAGATTGGCTTGGCTCTCCAGATTCCAGTCTGCTTTCTCAGAGCTGTGAGTCCAACAGTGCCAACCATGCTGCGCATTCACGCAAGCGCCTGCCCGTGTGAACACTGTGCTAGAGGCATCGCTCTTCTGCACATGTGACTGCAGCCTTTGCTTACGCTGCATGTGCTGCAGAAGAAGTTTGCAGGTTGTACCAGTGGAGTTCGGCGAGTGTTTGTGGACTGCCTCTCAGCTTGGCAATCTTGCTAAACCAGGGCCAAGCATAAGAAGAAATCCAACAAACATCCAAGAGAGCCAGATCCGCAGAGGATTGATGCAACTCTACTTTCGAAGAAAAGATTTAGTTTTTTCAAATGGGGAAAAACAAACTACCAAGTGATCAGAAGTTGTGAAAAGGGAGATGCCAGGCAAAGAGGACGTGGCTATCTAAAAACCCCAAAGGGTCAAACTCCAAAGCTTGAATCCTGGGTCCAAAATTCTCCAGTCCTGAGCTTCAGATAGTAAAAGAACAGGCAGTGAAAAATCTTACCTGATGAGGGATGCGAACTCTCAGAGGAAAGGGGCTTTGTATATCAGCCTTGACCCACTTTTCCACAATGAAAGGTACAGACCTTGTGCAGGTCCAGAGCCCAATGGATTGTGTGAGTTCCAGAACTAGAACCCAGTGTGCACATGTTCTAGTTGCCTAAGGTGTACAGCTAAAGCAGAAAGGTCAGCTGGGTGGAAGAGACACATGATCTTTGCCTTTTTAGCAACTGACCATAAAACTAGTCTCCCCACCCCCGCTGCCCACCCAGTGGGGCTAGCCAAGGTTGGCAAGCATAGTTCAGACAAACTACAAGAATTCACTGAGTTGTCAGAAATACTGATAGGAGGTTAAATCCTGGCAAGACAAATGACCTCCTATTTGAAGTCCTATTTGTTTGGGTGATACTTCCAATGCTGGCAGCAGCATCTGGAAACAAGCTACATTGCGATTGTGTGAAGGCATTTACTGGCCTTCTTCAGATGATTGTCTGTGGCTTCAGAAACCATGACGCTGTGAAAAAATTTCAAGGCTGCTCATTGCTCCTTCACCTGTCCCCTCCTCTCATCATACATGTTTTGGGTCAGAGATCCTAGCTTACATTAAGCCATTATATCACAAACCAAAGAACTCTAACATAATCTGAGTTCACTAACCAGGATAATTAGTCAGGATCTGATCATAGCTTATTATTCTCATTAATTAACCAACATTAAACCATGATTGCACAATGTGACCATGGTGCTCATCTACAGATTTATAAACCATAACTGCCCGCTACTACAAAAAGGTATAAGAGTCATTGTTCAATAAGCACCAGATTGGCCTTCAACATTGGATTTAAATTCTAGAAGTTCTTTAGAGTTGAAAAGTCCATGAGAAGGAGGTATGTGCAAGCTCCAACATATTCATCTATCCTTCTTCACAGGACTGCTGTAAACAAAATAATATTTGGGCTGCTCCAGTGGCGTGTTTTGTGGTGAAGGTGATGGTGGTCTATGCATTAATACTGAAGGGGGATTGTCTTCCCTCATCAACATACATTCCTTCTCAGATTGTTTGCTCTGCCCAATAAATGAGTGGGGTGAGGGAAGGGAAAGCAATTGGAGAAAAGCACATTTACCCTTGCCCTCGTAATGGTCTCACAACTTTAAGAGAGGGTTCTACTGTGGTTATTCTCCCCTTGAATATTTGCAGAGCTTTCCTCTTGAATTATGATAGTCTGTGCTGCCCATTGGGTTATACTGGCTTTGTGAGCAGTGGGAGCTAATGTTATAAATATTTCATTCTAACCTTAATTTTGTGACCTCTAGATTCTTGTCCCATGTAAGTTCCTATACTGAGACTCCTGTAGTCGCTTGCATCGTCTCAGGATTTCTCGCAGCACTACTGTCCTTGCTGGTAAGCCTGAGGGACCTGATAGAGATGATGTCCATCGGCACTCTGCTGGCCTACACTTTGGTCTCTGTCTGTGTCCTGCTTCTCCGTTACCAGCCAGAGAGTGACATTGATGGCTTTGTCAAGTTCCTTTCTGAAGAGCACACTAAGAAGAAGGAAGGGATCTTAGCAGACTGTGAGAAGGAGGTGTGCTCACCTGTGAGTGAAGGTGAAGAGTTTGCAGGCCCACCCACCAACACCTGCGGCGCAAAGAACCTTCCATCCCTGGGTGACAATGAGATGCTCATCGGAAAATCTGATAAGTCCACCTACAATGTCAATCATCCCAATTATGGTACAGTCGACATGACTTCAGGAATAGAGGCAGACGAGTCTGAAAACTTCTATCTCATCAAGTTGAAGAAACTGATTGGACCACGGTACTACACAATGAGGATCCACCTTGGGCTTCCTGGGAAAATGGACCGGCCCACAGCAGCAACTGGCCAGACAGTCACCACTTGTGTGCTGCTGCTGTTTGTCCTGATGTTCATCTTCTGTTCTTTCATCATTTTTGGGGTGGACTATCTCTATGATCAAAGCTGGTGGGCAATTCTTCTGGTTGTTCTAATGGTCCTGCTGATTGTGGCATTGGTGTTTGTCATTCTTCAACAGCCGGAAAACCCCAAAAAGCTCCCCTACATGGCCCCTTGTTTGCCTTTTGTCCCTGCCTTTGCTATGCTTGTGAACATCTATCTCATGCTGAAACTTTCAAAGATCACATGGATCCGGTTTGCTGTCTGGTGTTTTGTGGGTAAGTCCTGAACATGGAAGGCAAAAGTTAGGGAAACCAATTCCAGAAGAGAATAGTTAGAGCAGGCCTTCCACAGCCTTGGGACCTCAAGATGTATTGGACTACAACTCCCAACATGCCCCATCCTCATCTGGAGGGCACCACATTGGGAAAGACCAGGGTACTTCAGAATGCTTAATTTGAATCAACATTCAGTAGCACTTCATCAGCGGAGTAATTAATTTGATGCAGCCTTGTTAGCTTATCTTTGTAGAATAAACGTCCCCCAGTGGCCCATCATAGGCCCTGCTGCTTGCAGACCACATGACCTGTAAGGAATCGGTCAGTGAATTGTGGTATCACACCATAGCAGCCCCAGTTTGAACACAGTGAATGCCCTGAGAACTTCCCCAAATCAGCTAAATGGGTCAGTCCTTTGCATGGGAGACAGCTGGGATTCCTGTGTACCAGTGGAATATAATAAATACTTAAAACGGCATCCATCCGTTCTTAAAATCTTTTCTAGATTTGCTTGTGGCACCATTACCCAGTCATTGTCTGGCTGCCTTTCCTCCCCTGGTTTTCATCTTTTAATCCCCTGTTAGTGCTACCCTGAGGGGAGAGAAGTCAAAGAGCAGAGGAAAACACAGTTAAGGAATCTACACATTTGCCTCAAAGCCTTTCTTTTTATTCTATTTATTTATTTAAACATTTGATGTGTTTTGACATTCAATTCTGCCCTGATGTAATTCCAACAGAAACCATATTAGTGCAAAACCTGAGAAATACTGAAAACAGGAATGGCAGGGGGTAGGATGTGTCTGTGTCCAGCCAATCTAATTATTTCATGGGGTAGATCCAGCCTACCTAGGTATGATTACATTGGGGTCTTAGCATTCACATTTTGCTTGAGTTAGCCTAAGAGAAAACAAAAGAAATGTTTAGAACATCAGACCTCACTAGTGTGCTCATGTGTAAAATGGGCCTGCTTTACTAACAAGCTCTCCTGTAAAGTACGGCTAGGACAATTGACCCTTTGAAAATACTCGATTGCTTGAAACTATGCCGCATATATGGAAATTATATGTGCCATCATTTCATGTAGATGGTACTGAAGAGGAGAGCTGGTGCTTGAGTTCTGCTTGAGAGCATGACCCTGCACATATTTCTGGTTCTTATTTTGGGCTTGTAGCACATTGTCCTTGCCTACATTGTGATAGGTTGATAGCGGTAGCCTTGTGTCATTTGGAACTGCCTTCACCAGCCTTGTGCCCTGCAGATGTGTTCAACTCCCAGCATCCCTCCATCAACACATCTGGGGAGCACCAGTTTGGGGAAGGCTGATTTGAGGATGACCTTTCTTCCTTCTGAATTGGAATTCCACTCCTGAGAGAAAGTACACTTTGGTTTGTAATACTTCGAGATCTTGCCTTTTCTGCTGGTTGCTTTGCGACTGGAAAAGCTCATCAAGAAAACATGCAAGGGCTCATCATTAAGAAAATGAGCCCTTGCTGGAAGGAGGAGGAACAATGGAATCAAAGATGGTTTAAGAACCATCCCATTGCATTGATATGCCACATGGTGAATTACAGATAATAATAAACCATTTGAGTTCTGTAGCAGTGTTTATAGACTCATGAGAGCTCGGACTGTTTCGTGTTGGATTGCCTAGAGATACTTACAAGCCAAATTCTCCTCTTTCCTGTAGGGGTGTTGATTTATTTTGGCTACGGCATATGGAACAGCACGCTGGAGATCACCGCTCGGGAAGAGGCCCTGCATCAGAGCACATACCAACGCTATGATGCTGATGTTGATCCCTTCTCGGTTGAAGATGGCTTTGCCTATGCCGAGAGCGACAACTATCAGGACTGGGCTCCTGCCGATGACAAAGGTTTCTCTTACCAGCAGATGTCAGAAGCAAAGGAAAGCAGTCGGACAAGTAGCAAATCAAAAAGCAAAAGCAAACACAAACAGAACTCGGATGCACTGATTTCAAATGATGAGTTAGAGTACTCGCCAGAGTAGATGAATGGAAACCCAGCTGATCCGCGCTTTGTCACTAAGCTAACTCCTTGGGCTAAAATTCAGTGGCACTCATTTCCAACCCATTCTTTCTCTGACGGTTCTATTTCCAGTAGCCTCATCACTGTCTCTCTCTTATTCACTTTCTGCTCTTCAGGATAGGTCTGTCAAGCACTTATCCTGAATCAACAGAATGTCACATCAAAGATAAGAAAATAGTAAGTCTTTGATTCTTCCCCCAACACAAAGTCACTCATCATCACCAATCATAGCCCTATTTCACCGAATGAAGCAGGAACTCTCCCCTCAAACAAGCTAGCTTGTCTTGCAGGTCTTCTGAGCCTAAGAAAATCTGTCACAGGAGACACTCTGTATTCTAGTAACTCTCAAGTTGCCGGCAAAGTGGGTGTCCTGATGAAACACACAGCAGATTCCATTGGTCAGGAAATGTTTCTTCTCCCATGGAGCAGGGGTGTTGAACCTCAGGTCTGCATGCTAAATATGGTCCATCTGGGGTACCAGTCCAGCACTCTGAAGCTCCCCAGAAAGCAGTGCCCCATTCCCCTGGCATCACTCTCTTTCCCCAGCTGCCAGTCATTTGGTAGCTTTCTGGCTTTTGTATGTTTTTTCTACAAGGTTAAAATGCCTCTCCTAAGGCTTGATTTCCAGCATTTAGTAGCTTTATGCTAAAATATCCTGGAGTTTTGTTCCCAACTCACCAGTCTTTAGCTCTATCCACAGCCCCTGAAGTTTCTGAAACTGAATTCGGTGCTGGGACTAAAAGATGTTCAGCCCTTCTGGTATAGAGAATACCTGCAACAATAGCAGTGATAGATAGGTTATTTGGCAAAGGGTGGAGGTTTTGTTTTTTGAGAATGTAAATGTGGGCCATCAAATGCTATTAAAAGGTTTCCTTCCTTTTTCATCTTATCAAAGGAGAATCAGCTCCAGTATTTTGAAAGCACCCGTGCAGAACTGACACGGTTCGTAACCGATGGACTTGCTTACCACTAGGACCACCTGTATCCTCCTAAGACAGGGGTGGAATTGCCATGGCCCTGTTGATGTTGTTGAACTACAAGTGCCTTTGGCCCAAGCTGCCAGTGGTTAGATCAATGAGAGCTGAAGTCCAACCACTTCAGCAGGGCCACAGGTCCTCCTTCTCTTTCCCAAGAAATAGAAGGCCAGATGCTAGTCCAATCAATGGTGTATTTTTAAATTCTGGAACACACCTCTAGGATAAAACTCCAGGCTTTATCATCTCTCATATTTAAAGAGAATGTAATAAGTTGCACATTACAAAATAGAGCATTTCTTGGATTCAGTTCCTTGCAGAAATAACACTGCCTCTTTCTGTAAACAATCATACTACATTTTATTAATAACATGATGCACAGCCAAGTGTGCAAAGAATCTGGACAAACAGGGTGCAGGTAGGAATGGAAAATGATCTGTCTGGAGTCGTAGTCCTACGGAGTGCTCAGTGGTGACCATGGGGTAAGAAGAGGAGAGGCGGTGGCCCTTGGCTGATGTTCATACAAAGCAAAAACCAGGAAGGCTTTCTCAGAGGAAACATGTTTGAAGGAATGAGGAAGGGCTTTGGGATTTTTGCCATTTGCTGTATTCTTCTGCCAAGCTTCTCCTTAGCTGCAGAAAGTTAAAATCTGTTGGCATCAAGGGCAACTTTCATGCAGGGGGTTATAGTAGCTTACCTGGGGGAGGGAGGGGAGATGAGATTTATCTTTGGGCCATGGCATGGGAGGAAAATATTAACCCCTCCCCTCCCAGGACACTTTCACAATTCTGACTGGGAACCCCATGGCTGGTATTCAAAGATTAAAATAGATGCGATGCGTATCTTTGTGCATTTTACATCATGTCAGCTTTTGCCATCAGATGTTCCATGATGATAGTGCTAACTCATCACAGACTGACCACCCTGTTGAATAAAGATTGCTTTAGGTAGGGCTCCGGCTTTTTTTTAAAAAAGGCAGTGGGTTGAATCCACACTTAGTCAAGCTTACAGTAGACCAGTTAGAATCCATTGTCATGCGCAGATGAATTCCCATTGATTGCAGTGGGTCTTCTCGACTAAGTCTGGATCAAACCATGAGGCGTGAGGCAGGGCCTGGCCTATCAAGAGATGGGTTTAAATACAAGAAATAGCCTGGAGTGCTCGAGTGTGGCCAGATCCTTTTTCAGCTTTCCACTGGTCACTCTCACGGGACAAATACTGCTGGTATCTGTGAGTAGGTCTGACCAGTACTCTAAATCCCAATGATCATGGGGAAAAGCCACTTTTGGGGGGGTGGGGGGGATGTCCCAAATGCTTTTTCCACCATTAACATGGTTTATATTGCGATTTATATTGCGATTGCGATTTATATCCTGCCTTTTTCCTACAAAGGGCTCAAGGCAGCTTACATCATTCTCCTCCTCCATCTTATCCCCACAACAACAACCCTGTGAGGTAGGTTGGGCTGAGAATCTGTGACTGGCCCAGAGTCCCCCAGTTGGCTCCATGGCTGAGCGGGGACTCGAACCCAGATCGCCTGAGTCCCAGTCCCAGGCTGTTAACCACTACGCCACACTGGCTCTCACTGGGTTTAGATAGCCCAAGATGTTGGCTGAAAAATCCATATAGTCCATATAGTGAAATCCATATCACTAAGTGACATGGGACACTATCCACTTTGAAGTGCTCCCAGGGAAGCCCTGTTGAAGCAAATGAGAGCACACTGGTGCAGACATCTCTGTTGGAAACAGCCATGTAGATTGGCGACTGCTCTGGGGGAAGGAAAAAGAAGCTTTCACATTGTGCTTGTATCAGATCTTGTAAAAAGTACAAGCAGGCTACCTGGGCAGGATTTCAATTGACAGAATGCCCCCCTGAGAGTCAACAGATCTCTGTTAGACAAATAAAAACAAAATTTTTAGTCTGTTTTTACATGAAGGTAGGTATTTCTTGCCTTAGACAAGGTTACACAGAAGCAGTTGGTTCCTGCTGGTCCATTAAAAATGATAAATAGCATTAGAAGAGAATAGATTTGTCGTTTGATCGCTACCGTGCACCGATGGATAAACTGAGCATCATTGCTCTTCTTCCCCTCCCACCTCCTGCTGTAGATCAGCATCCAGAACCAGAGTTGAGGCCTGCTAGCTTTGTTTCTCACAGTCCTAAAACTGCAGCTCTTAAACTCAGCTCATCCACAGGACATGCATGTGGAGAAATAGAACATCCTCCTACGAAGCATTTTTCCTGGATGAGCGAATTGCATTTTTAAGAGGGTAGAGTATCTCTAAGAAAGCTTTGGGATATATATGATGCAGTTTGTTGTTGAGATATCACTTGAGCACAAGCAGGAAATTAAAAATCAGTTTGAGCACATTGTCAAAAGAAAGGACCTGTGACTAGCATGGGATTTTTATGCACATGGCGCTGGCTGAGCATCAAAACCGAGTTCATGATACAACTTTAAGAATTATGCTCAGTGTTGTAGTGGAACCAGTGCTTGTGGGCCAGGATATCAGGCTGTTTTGATGAGCAAGGACAATGAAATAATGTGCCAGCAGCTTTCCTGTTCCCTGTGAGCTTAGCTGCAATTCTCATAATAGATGGGGAGAAAGGTATTTTCCCAGCATCAATATAGTATGGGGTGTGTTTGCATGACACAACAACCCACCCTGCACACAATGCGCGTTGTTCACAGGACAACCCACCTTGCACTTGGCAGAGTCACTGTGGGTTGTTCTCCCTTGCCTTCTCCCTCAGTCCTCCAGTTAGTATATCTGTGTCCTTCAGAGAAGAACCCATCTTGTCTTCTCTTTCCTCACTCTGACTGTAACAGCTTTTCATCCCCTTCAATTTCTCCTCTTTTTTCAGCACTTCAAAAAAGTACAGTTAGAGTCACGCTTTGATTTTGATTTTTTGGAATCGTGTTTTGATTTTTTCAGCCTCAACAGTGTGTTCAAATTTCAACTTCTTCTTGAGAGGTCTTTCACAGGTGAAAGGTGCAGCTTTTGAATATATGCAATCTTGCCTGAGTAATGCTTATGTTAGTTTCAGATGCTAATATATTGATGAGGCAAGACTCTCAGGCTAAATTTAAAACAGTTGACAGCTGTCCGTTGCCTAGCTATCAATTAGAAAGCACCAGAAAAGGGGTAAAAATGCAGAGCTGTTGCACCAAAAGGGGCCAGGGCCAAAAATCTTCCCTTTGGCATTGTAATCTTCTCAATTTCTAGTACTGAACATACACTTCTCGGGTCCTGTCCACCTTTCGCTCATTTTCCTGTGTCTTCAGCTAGTTCAGAAAGGGGAACTCTTAAGGCCACCTCCTTTGCACGGTCCCTTTTCAGAGCTATTACTGTTGTTTCTGGATAGCTCTCAAAAAAGCCTGAGAAGGCAGCTGAATAAAACAGTGAATGAGGCCACACTGAGGAAGCTGCCCAATTTGATCTGTCCCATTTATTTTTTAAATTCTCTGGGAAATTCGCACATTTTTATGGGAGGGGGCAGATAAATATATAGAGCTAGACTTCTAAAGCACTGTATTTGGTTGGCCTTGGTTTTCAATGGGAAATTAGACCCATTTGCTTTACCAAAGCCTATTTCTGATAGAGATGAAAACTGTTAGAACTGGTTTATTGCTAAGGATCTATATTTTTGGACTTCTCTCATGCACCTTGCTAGGAAGACTGTGAAGATGAGTACCTGCACTTCTCAATTTACCACTCAACCACAGGTTGGCAAGCATCTCCCATGGCTGTCTGTCAAATCTCTTTCTGTATTGCAGCTCTCAAGGCAAGGGTGCAGAACTGCAGGCCAAATTCGGTCACCCTGGGGCTACAGCCCAGTCCTCCAGCGGCCTCCAGATCCCCACGCACTTTGTCCACTCTCTTTCCCTTGGTTTCCAGTCATTTGCTGGCTTTCCAGCTTTTATGAATTTTTCGCCATTCTAAATAGCTGAAATTCCCCTCCTAAGGTGTAAAAGCTTTAAGGT